TAACTCCTACTCCACCCCTTCCATCATAAGCATTCAAACTCACTATACCGTTGAGTCAGTTTTACCGTAAAGGACCAGCAAATTACTTCGCTCGAAAAAAATATAGTTAAAAATGAACAATAAAGTACGTTATGTTGGAATGTCCCGCAACAACAAGACCTTTGGTAGGATAATTTTACTAATAACATATTCAGTAATTTCATCCTTTTCACCTTCCTTCAACCTTCATTTTTGTATTGTATAATTCATTATAACTTCGTAATAATTTGTTTTCTCTGGTTTCACATAAATTGTTCAGTACTCCTAAACTCTCCTGCATTCTAGTTTCACTCTGCAAACTCTATCTACACCCCCCTTAAAAAACCCTGCTGAAGAAGACTGTTAGGTCGAAACGCGTACAGGGTTGCCTTTCCTATTCCAATTCAATCTCTCGCTCTTATATATCCTCGCCCTCATCGTGTCACATAAAATCCACATATTCAGTTACTATCTAATCGTAGTTTCCCCCGTTTTTTGCGTACATGTTCACCATCACAGGAGTCGGAGTAAATAAATAAAAGATAACCAATTGAACTACTGGTCCTCATTATTTAGGCTACACAATGTCTTACACCAGTACTTGTCCAATTACCTATTTCATACCAATGAATGAATACCATTGAATGTATGCCGGCAGAAGGGCGCTCAGCTAAAGCAATGTCCATCTTTTGAGTTAGGTAGTCCAGCATCTCATGTTCATTTTCTTTACTTTGACCTGGAGGATAGTATTAGTATACGCCTACTACAATGACGGAACTGTAGGGTCTCGGTGTTCTGGGTGGTTTTAATAATAGCCATAGCGCTTCTTTTCCTTCCTCTTCTAGTTCAGGAAGGCGTTTCGCAGGTAGGTCCAGGGCCGCCGAGAGGTTGGCGGGGGCCCGGGGCAAATTTTTTTTTAGGGGCCCCTATCTAAAAAATTTTTCCCGGAAAAATTTTTTTCCGGAGAACAACCTCCCCCAAACAGATCTCTTGTCCTTTGCGCGGAAATATTTAACACACAAAAAAGGCTGGGGCCCAGCAAAAATTTTTCAGGGGCCCCCAGCAACTCGGGGCCCGGGGCAATTTCCCCCCCCCCCTGCCCCCCCTCTCTGCGGCCCTGGGTAGGTCAGATTTAATGTTTGCCAAGTTACCACCACCTGGCGTAGGTCTGTCGAGTCGATATGAATTGTAAATATTTCCTATGTTAATAATAGAATCCGGAATATCAGACGATAACCAGGATTCTGTAACCAAAATTACAGAGGATAGTTTATCGCAACCACTGCAGACAGTTCGTCCACCTTGTTTGCTATGTGGAAGGCATTGGTAACAAAGAGAGATGGAACAGCGCAGTTGTCTCGGTGATTTTTCAGGTTACTAGTAGTTACAGGGACATTTACCAGGTTTCATGGATTGCTAGTTCGCTTACGTATATTACTATAACTTGCAATATTTCTGAAACTTGTTAAAGAACGTGGGAAAGATAGACATCCAGATAGGCTGTATCGTGACGTAATTCTAGCTGGAATACTGTTACGTTCACACAGCGAGCCATTAATTATCGTGTTCACCATCGTAAACGAGGTGGGTATATTTGTGTATTCATCAGAGGTTGTATCCAAGGGTGGATAGGCCATGATGTCATAGGGAAATCTAGAGGAACCTGCGTGTGGTTGCTCCTCTGGTGGAATTGCATCAAATTTGGGGACGCTGTCCTTTGTTTTTAGGATAAAAAAGGATTAAGATAATTAGAATCGAACACTTGAGTCGGATGAGTGTTTGAAGAATCGCCATGTAAGAAGTCGCACTGGTTTCCCTTCAGACAAAAACCCTTCCGTCGTAGGGAGAAGCTTACGTCTGGCATATTCTTTTAAAGCAGTTCTTACTAAAATATCTAGTCCTAGATAATTTAAAAATTCATACAGAATCATATTTATACAGATGCTGTAACTTTGTAAATGTTCTTTTATCGATAATTTTTGGAAAACACGTTGATTTTGATTGGCCACCTTATTTTATAACCCAAACTCTTCCAAGCTTGGTGGGATTAACGGATCACTTCATTTAGCCAATCAGATTACGAGCTATTTTGGGGACCATATTAATTAGGTAGGACTTGGGAACCATTAGTAGGTGGGGATTGGGGACCATTAACAGGTGGGACTGGGACATGGGGTCAGTTAGTAGGTGGGACTTGTGGACCATTAGTAGGTGCGACTTGGGGGGGTTAGTAGGTGGGACTTTGGAACCGCTAGTTTGTGGGACTTGGGGGACCGTTAGTAGAAAGAACAGCTCCTAGACCAACAAACTGAGAAGCATCCGTTTGCAATACTGAAATTCTCGGTCTGGGTAACATAGTATTGGTACCATAGATATCTTATATACACTAGATAGTGCATCTAATTATTCTGCAATTCAAAAATTGAAGCCGTGATTGCAGTCTCAGGTCGTTCCCATGAAATGAGAAGATTCGTATGTTTTCTATTTCTTAAACACGGAATTTATACATTAAGTTAAACCTATTCCAAATATGTTTTTAGACTATTCAAATGATGAAAGTTATTCTTGTTTTTAAGCGTTTATTAGCAAGTGGGAACGACCAACATGGCCGCCATCTATTCAAATGGGGGGTAACCGCTGGAATATTCTTGGCTTCAATTTTACTAAAAGAGATGCACTATCTAGTGTATATAAGATATCTATGATTGGTACGGAGCAAAGTAATTATTTAAGTTGTTCAAAGGCTGCAGTAAATTCATCAGTCCAAACGAAATTATTGCTGTTCTCCTTTGAAGTGAGTTTCGTTAAAGGTTGAGCAACAGTAGCGTAATTAGCTAATGAATCGCCGATAATACCCAGTCAAGCCTAGAAATGTATGCGTACTTAGAAACCCGGACTCGAAGAAAATCTGGACTCGAGGAAAACCCGGAACCGGAAAAAATCCGGACTCGTCTTTGAGAAAACCCGGACTTGTCTTTTGAAAACCCGGACTCGAAATAGAAAAAACGGATTCGAGAAAAAGATTCTGTGTACAAGAATGGAAAGGCTTTTTGCAAAATTTTAATAACGATGATCTTTTCATAACAACAATGAATTTCTAGAGTGCTGTTAAACTATCTGGCGTAGTACTGACAACGAACCTGAGTTGCATCGTCATCGGTAATAATTCGCGCATTTTGTGCCCTCGCGCGGTGTTCCTCTTTCTCCCCGCTTTCTAGTGAGATAGATAGATAGAATACTTTATTTCAAACAAGGTGGCTGATATACTGGAACCATAAATTTAGGCACGTAGAAACTGAAATGCATTTACTTATGTTGAGAATTGCCTCCCGTTGATTCCCAACATAAATTAAAATTACAAACACTGTGTATTTCTATAGTTTTATTGACAAAAATCTCATGCTTCGCTGTGTTCTTTCCCGAATCTCTCGCTATGTAAACATTCTCAACGGTATCTTCCGGAGCTGTCCGACTGTCCGCGAGTATACTCGCATGTCCCACGCGATAATAAAAAAGCTAAATATAGTTTCCGACACTCTCCCCCCATATAGCTTCTTGAAGGTATATGTACTGAAAGGAAACTTAAATAATCTCAATGTTACTAATGTAAGGTCTACTAAATGTTATATATTATATATAAACTTTAACGTCTCAAAGGATATGCTCTGTTCAATTTCTTGTTCAAATTTCATCATAGTTCGCTTGCTCTTGGATGCGTAACCTTGCGGTGACCGCTGCCTCGCGGGTTGGTCGAAATACTGTAGCTTCTGGATTGAGGTTTTCACTACCGGTTGATGGTCTTATGTCACACGACAGTTCAAGTGGGTAGAGTAGATTGACTGCTCTCTCTAAATGACCGTTTCCCGTCTTTATTTTCGCTGCTCGAACGACCCCGTCTCTTCCTGGGTAAAGTTCCTGAACCATTCCGAGCGGCCACTTTCCTTTATTGCGCTCTTCAGAATAAATTATGACGACATCACCCACAACTAGGCTGAATGGCTTCGTATCATGTTTTAAATTATGTCGTTCTCGTAAGGCTCGTAGGTACTCTTTCGTCCACCTGTTCCACATGTGATCTTTACATTTCTTTAGGTATTTCGCGCGTTTACGTAGGTCAGGATCGGCTTCGTGGTAATGTTCGGGTTCCGGAAGGTGGGTCGATCCAACAAACTGCAAACTGTTCGGTGTCAATGTTGGCATTTGGATATCATCTTCTTGGTACCCTAGAGGTCTGTTGTTCAATGTTGTTTCAATGTCTAGAAGGACATCTTCGAGTTCTTTCTTGGCTAAAAAGCCATTCCCAATAGACTTGTACAACGCGGACTTGACCAAGCCGACCATACGTTCGAATTGGCCCCCCCACCAGGGGGCCCGACTTAGATTGAACTGCCATTTTATTTTTTCGTTGGCCAGGAAATGATTGAATTTTTCATCTTGTTGTGCCTTCTTCAACCACTTGGCTGCCGCAACGAAGGTCTTTGCGTTGTCGGAATAAATCTTTTCCGGTCTGCCTTTCCTCGCGATGAGTCGCTTGAGGGTAGGGATAAATTCATCGGTTTCCATGCTCGTGGTTAACTCTAGGTAGAGGGCTCGCGTTAGACTACATGCGTAGAGGGTTATATACGCCTTTCCTTCCGTCTTTTTGGTGACGCGATACTTGATGGGGCCGGCGAAATCGACGCCTACGACCTGAAACGGACGATCACCTTCTGTTCGGTCTACGGGCAAGTTTCCTGGAGGTGGTTTACTAACTGGCTTAGCATGAAATCGTCGACACCCGTGGCATCCCTTTACGGTCTTCTTTACAAGTTGTCTTAGCCTTGGCACCCAAACGTTCTCTCTAATCTTGGTCATAATGAGCCCGACTCCCCCGTGTAACGTGCGTTGATGCGCATCTTCTACGAGTTTAGTGGTGTAAAGATGACTGTCCGGTAAAAATACGGGATATTGACCTTGCAAACGACCTTTGCACACGAGGATACCATCTTCATTCATTTGTACACCCAGGCGTTGCTTATCGTCGCTCACTTTGTCGTATAGAATTGCTTGGGCTTGTTTTACATAAGCGCTGTGTTGGTCGTTTATCTCTTGCGTTGTCAACGGCCCCGACCGTGTCTCTTTCTTAGTTGCTTTCGCTCGACAATTATACACAAATCGAGAAATCCATGCGTTTACTCTTACAGCTTTGTTGAGGGAAAACTTTGTCAAGATTCCATCAGGTGGGTTGGTTGGTTCTACAGCTAACTTGAACACTGCTCTTGTCGCTTTGGCTTCGGCTTCGCTTTCATTGGTTGCAGTCGTTACTATATCTCTTGGCCACTCGCTCTGATTGGTCAACCACGGAGGTCCTTTCCACCACAGTAGATTTCCAGTCACCTGTCCTCCCCGACTTCCCAGGTCAGCAGGGTTGTCTTGACTT